CGCAGGTGTTTCCAGCATACCGCAGCATACATTATTTTATTGAGAAAACATTATAAAATTACTACTCAACTAAAAATAATTAAATAATTACCATACTACACAGACAGGCGGCGCCTTTGACGCTTTTTTGTCATAGCTTGGCATTGTTTTCGTTATAAGCGATTTCGTAGTTAGCCGTGTACGTGCACACGCCGTACGCACTTGTACGTGCACACGCCGTACGCACTTGTACGTGCACACGCACGCACTTGTACGTGCACACGCACGCACTAAAAATAAATAAATAATTACAAAAACTAACACAGACAGGCGGCGCCTTTGACGCTTCTTTTGTCATAGCTTGGCATTGTTTTCGTTATAAGCGTTAGTAGTTAACCGTGTACATGCACACGCACGCACGTGTACGTGCACACGCACGCACTTGTAGTTACACACGCACGCACGTGTACGTGCACACACACGCACGCACGCTCGCACGCACGTGTACGTGCACACGCACGCACACAACCACGCACGTGTACGTACACACGCACGTGTACGTGCACACGCACGCCCGTGTACGTACGCAAGCACGCACGTGTACGTGCACACACACGCACGTGCACACACACGCACGTGCACATCCACGTTCCCCCTATCATTTGCAAGACATTTGCAAGATGTTTCTTTTTCTTTTTCTTCTTCTTCTTCTTCTTCTTCTTTTTCTTTTTTTTTTCTTTTTTCTTTTTCTTCTTCTTCTTTCCTTTTTCTTGCAAATGATAGGGGGGCGACCGCCCCCCCCCTATCCCCCCTGTGGCGCCGCCCCTGAGTGTAAGCGTGCAACAGTCGCGCCGCCAAACAGCCGCAAAACTACTTTGACGTAAAACTTCGATCTAAAATGTCGCCTATAGCTTCACAAGTACATGACCAATCAGGTTCATCGCCTTGTACATCTAGTTGTTTGCGTAAAAATGGCTACATGCAATTTTATTGACGATATGATTAAGGAATATTTGGCATTTAGACAACTTACAGCAACTCTAAAAAGCTTAGATTTGGAACTAAAGACAGATAAAGACAAAGGCTTCAGGGTATGTCTTTAAAATCTCATAAAATCTTAGAGCTAAGCTCGAAAAACACTAGCAATAATGGCACGAGGGTCGGTAGCCAGTTCAGTTGATCATTACTTTAGCCCGTTGCTGCTTCAGCCTTCAGTGCTTGTTGTCAAACAAAACCGAATAGTTGAATGACCAAAATGTGTACATATAGCATTATGTTGCACAATAGACATATCGGATCATTAATCCCATACCATCCTGCACCATGTGCATGCATTTCATGTATCGAAAACCAATGGCAATGCATTGTGGTACAACTAGCTCTAGTAACGCTGAGAGGGGCCCTGTCCGGTTCAAGGATAGAGAACATGGGTCCCAATAAAACCAATGTCATTTACATCAATATAAATATAATATTATATCAATATAATAGGTTAGGGTATGCCGGATCATACCTCGCCTACTCCACTAACGACTTTGCCTACGCGACAGTGCTGACGATACTCGCGCGAGCGTCGCTCCCCGCGCCTAATCGCTCGCATGCTGAGTCCATCTGTGCATCTTCATGCTCGCGTATCCTACCATAAGCGTTCGATTTATCGATTGCCTGAAATTGCAGTCTGCTCCCCTCAAGCGGTTGTTAAAATTCGGAATTTATTGAATACATCATTAGATGTATATATTGCGATATAATGGAAAATTATGTGTTTTCATAATGTACATTATCACTACCTGTATCACATAAAAACTAAAAATCTTGTATACATTCAGAGATGAAATGTGAAAACAATGATTTAAAACCTCATATTAGACAATTCAGTTATGATTTTGAAACTTTATTCACAATTCTATTCATTACACAAGCAGTCAGAAAGACCATTGTTTCATTTTTGGCCGCACTGTCTAAATTATTGTTATAACTATTCATAAGTGAAGAAGGGATGTACATATGCAAATATACAGTACTTCAACAGTGGCATATTACATGACCTTTAAAAGCAATTATATATATCACGCTGTAAAAATTGACAATTAAGTACGTATATTTTTTGCAGTAAACTAATGATGTATTTGTCATGTGGTCAAATTGCTGATAAATATCATCAATCCTACTAAAATATAAGCTAGGAAAAAATGCAGATAGATGACCTTAGAATTAATGCGTCAAATTGAACCATTTTGCATCAAAATAAAAAAGATTTTCGGAGGGCATGGCCCCCCACTTGACACAAGTATTAACACTTGTAATAAATTCTTGTGAATCAGTATATTCACTCACGTACACACACACGCACGCACACAGACACGCACGCACGCACACAGACACGCACGCACGCACACAGCCAGCCACATATACGCACACACGCACAAACAGTTACATAACATAACGTACATGGCCAAGAGCAATATCATTTGGGGATACAACATTTCCGTCATTATAGGAGGGGTAGGGGCGACTCCCCCTCCCCGTCCCAATTATCGACGCCGCTGTTCTCTGAACACATGGGGTAGGCATTTCTCTCTTTTCCAGACATACATTATGTATTGCAGCGGACAAAAATTTACGGAAGGGGGAATTTTTTCCTTATTGGAAGGTTAGGTGGGTAATTGTCCTGGCGGGTAATTTTCCTGGTGGGTAATTGTCCGGTGGGTAATATCCTGGTGGGTAATTGTCCTGGTGGGTAATTGTCCTGGTGGGTAATTGTCCTGGTGGGTAATTGTCCGGGTGGGTAATTGTCCGGGTGGGTAATTGTCCGGGTGGGTAATCGTTCGGGTGGGTAATTTTTTTGAAATTAGACCCCCTCAGCATGCGTTTTCTGCGGCGAGCAGGGGGGGGGGTCCGGACCCCCTGGACCCCCCCCCCCTATACACGCCCCTGGAAACTTTTAGACTCTGATACCGTGTCGCTTGCACTGACAGGTGGGTCACGGGTAGATTCATGATTCATCAAGCTGCGTACGCCAAAATATTTTGCGTAAATTTGTGTACGCAATCGACGTTTGCTTAGTTGCGATTTATCAACGCAGTTATTTTAGTAAAGTTTGCGTACGATTTCGCGGTACACAAGCGAGCCGTTTTAGGTGCGCGATTCATCAAGCTAAAATTTACGTAAACCTTTGCGTAACCTTACATGAGCTGACGAGGAGCCGTAAACCACTCGAAATTTTCGCAGGTGTTTCCAGCATACCGCCCGCAATGCATGCTATTTTTATTGAGAAAAACATTATAAAATTACTACTCAACTAAAAATAATTAAATAATTACCATACTACACAGACAGGCGGCGCCTTTGACGCTTTTTTGTCATAGCTGCATTGTTTTCGTTATAAGCACTACTCTATATAATATAATCAGATGATTATATATATATGATATATAAATATATGATTATATTATAGAGATCAGTGGTTATAAGCGATTCGTAGTTAGCCGTGTACGTGCACACGCCGTACGCCACTTGGTACGAGCACACGCACGCACTGTACGTGCACACGCACGCACGTGTACGTGCACACGCACTAAAAAATACTCAACTAAATAAATAAATAATACAAAAACTAACAACAGACAGGCGGCGCCTTTGACCCTTCTTTGTGTCATAGCTTGGCATTGTTTTCGTTATAAGCGTTAGTAGTTAGCCGTGTACATGCACACGCACGCAACTTGTAGTTACACACGCACGCACGTGTACGTGCACACACACGCCACGCACGCTCGCACGCACGGTTACGTGCACCACGCACGCCACACAACCACGGCACCGTGTACGTACACACGCACGTTGTTACGTGCACACGCACGCCCGGTGTTCGTACGCAAACCACGCACTGTACGTGCACACACACGCACGTGCACACACCACGCACGTGCACATCCACGTTCCCCCTAATCATTTGCAAGACATTTGCAAGATGTTTCTTTTTCTTTTTCTTCTTTTCCTTTTTCTTCTTCTTCTCCTTCTTTTCCTTGTTGTTGTTCTTTTTTCTTTCTTTTCTTTTTCTTCTTCTTCTTTTCCTTTTTCTTGCAAATGATAGGGGGGCGACCGCCCCCCCCCCCCTATCCCCCTGTGGCGCCGCCCCTGAGTGTAAGCGTGCAACAGTCGCGCCGCCAAAACAGCCGCAAAAACTACTTGACGAAAACTTCGATCTAAAATGGTCGCCTATAGCATCACAAGTACATGACCAATTCAGGTTCATCGCCTTGTACATCTAAGTTGTTTGCGTAAAAATGGCTACATGCCAAATTTTATTGACGATATGATTAAGGAATATGTTGGCATTTAGAACAACATACAGCAACTCTAAAAAGCTTAGATTTGAACTAAAGACAGCATAAAGACAAAGGCTTCAGGGTAATATCTTTAAAATCTCATAAAATACTTAGAGCTAAGCCTCGAAAAACACTAGCCAATAATGGCCACGAGTGAGAGGGTCGGTAGCCAGTTCAGTTGATCATTTAGCCCGTTGCTGCTTCAGCCTTCAAGTGCCTTGTTGTCAAACAAAACCGAATAGTTGACAATGACCAAAATGTGTACATATAGCATTATGTTGCACAATAGACATATCGCGATCATTAAATCCATACCATCCTGCACCATGTGCATGCAATTCATGTATCGAAAACCAATGCATTGTGGTACAACTAGCTCTAGTAACGCTGAGAGGGGGCCCTGTCCGGTTTCAAGGATAGAGAACATGGGTCCCAATAAAACCAATGTCATTTACATCAATATAAATATAATATTATACAATATAATAGGTTAGCGTATGCCGCGATCATACCTCGCCACTCCACTAACGAGTCTAGGGAGTCGCCACGCCCAAAGGCGTTCGAAGGGCAATAAAATAGTGCCGCGGCTTTGGTGATAGCTAGGGCGAGCCCCGGGAGGCAAAGCCACCCCTAGTGGGGGGGGGTCTGGGGCATGCCCTCCCCCGTGAAAATTTTAAATCTAACAGGCAAATGGTGGGCTCTGGTGCATTCCTGAGCATTGTGATTTAGCACAAAAAAGTGTTTCACTGTTAATTGTTAGAAAAATACATGATGATTTGAAAGATTTGTTGCTTAACATAGAATAAAATATTCAATAATGACCAAAAAAACTCCAAATAAATTTTTCTCACTTTTACAGTGGAATAACTTGGTAAACTTCCTGAAATACATTCCCATTCAAGACAATGCAGACAATTGTACTGGTGCTCACAAACGAACTTGTAATATTCGTCATGAAACTCGCTGACGCCGAGCGAAGCATCATGCTCCCTCAAATATAACGTCAACGCATGCTGCCTGCATAGAATCAGGAGTAAGTACGCGTGAGCCAGAGGAATGTGCTGCCAGAGTTCTGGATTATAAAATTTTATAGCTACAGGGACCTGCGAGGCGCGTGTACAGCGATTTGGACCACGGGGGGGGGTTCTAACCGTAAGACATACCCAAGCTAACAAAGTTATGTTCCTTGAATGTATGGGAAGTGTTTCTTTTAGGTTAACATTATCAGTAACATTCTAATAACGTGTTTAAGAAAGTTTTCCTGACATTTGAGACGTTTTTGCACGGCGAAGGGGGGGACTGACGTGGCCCTCCCCAGAAATTTTTGAAATTACAGACCCCCTCAGATGCGTTTTCTGCGTGGGCAGGAGGGGTCCCCGCCCCCTAGACCCACCCCTCTACACGACCCTGACCCTGACCTCATCTGACCCTTGGTCTGCTGCTTATAGGCGGCCTAGATTACACGTATATACATGATATATGTACCGGCCAAAAGACGTATAAATTATTGAAAGATATTGGTTACGGAAAATTTATGGCCTGAAAAAAGTGCCGCGGCGGTCGCCGCAGCTGCCGCGCAGTTCCGACGCCCTGCTACGCCTACTCCCTAACCCTAACCCGAACCTAACCCTAACCCTAACCCTAACCCTAACCCCAATCCTAACCCTAAACCATATCAAATAGTGACCAGGTACGTTCCGGTATACCGAACCGACGCCAGGTTACGTTCCGGCAGTACCCTGGGGGACATAGACCCTATGAGCTCTAGTAACTATATGTACAACAAACTCATGCTGATACTGATAAGGTCTATGTCCCCCAGGCGGTATACCGGAACGTACCCTAGTACTAAATACTACTATCTGCTATGCCGGATCATACCTCGCCTACTCCACTAACGAGTAGGGAGTCGCCTACGCCTTACTCCTTAACCTAACCCTAACCTTAACCTCAACCTTAACCCTAACCCTAAACCCTAACCCTAACCATATCAGCTAGATAAGTTACCAGGGTACGTTCTGGTATACGGACGCATACCTCCAGCGGTACGTTCTGGCAGTACCCTGGGGGACATATAGACCCTATGAGCCAAACTCATAGTCATAGTGTCAATATCATGATCATGCACTGATGCAGTTGCATATCCATATATGCATAATGCTATATCGATTATCGGTAGCTCTAGTAGCAGTAGCATTACTAGTACTACTACCTACTACCTACTAAAAGTTGAACTACGTCATGGCAGTACTGTATGTTGTATGAACATTTCTTCTCAGATTGACAAGCTTATTGAGCAGTTGAACAGCTTTGTTAGCAACCATGAACTGGTGTCGTTGCGTGAGTACTGGTGTCATCTAGACCGACGATTCTTCTCCAGATTACCACAGGTAATTATTGGCAAAATTCGCCACCTTATATTTATAATGTATTGATTATTACTCACCGAAAATCTGTTGCATTCAAGGGAATTTTAAATATGACTAGGTGAACCCCTTAGCATGCTTCATTGTCATTCATGACTTCAGGCAAAGTGTTTACAAATAAACAATGGTCATTTGATCATTTTTGTGCTTCTGTTTTTCAAATTGTAAGGCAGGTGGTTTGTTATGTGTACTATGTATCTATTGTAGCGATACTCCTTACATACACGCAAATTGGAGGTGAATCTACTCAAGACATACCTCGTCATAGCGTATCAGAATAACAAAGTGGACAAAGTGATAGAGTTCTTTGAGAAGATGACTCCAGAACTACAAAACCAATCAGAATGGAAAGATTGGTTTGGTGAGTTTTATCTGCTTGTGAAGCAAGATGCATGCTATAATCTTGCAATAAGTGCAGTGGTTACATGACACTTCTATATACATATCTTATTATCAGAAGTAATATATATTATAGGGAATAAACAGCATGCTACTCTTGTACTCCTGTTATAACCTTACATAATTTATTGTGTTATATTACAAATAGATGAACATCTAAATGATTAGGAGACTTTACGAGAATCACGCAGGATATGGTTAATCACATGATGATCGGTTTTGCAGTGTTGCTGATCATTTGTCTTGTTCATCACCTGTGTCGTTTCATCATCTGTCTCCCAGCGTTGCCATACATCAAGGCTGCGGAGGAGAACCCAGCATTCAGCACCTACTTCACGCGCCAGTGGCAGGACATATTTTGGCTCTCGCTGCACAACTTTCTTGCCGCCATTTTCCAGGCGTTGCCGAAGCCGCAGCTGATGCAGTACGAGGCTGAGCAGCAGAGATTCAAGGAACTGCTGGACGAGAACGCTAGACTGAGAGAACAGGTGAGCATGCGTGCGTCATGATAGAATAAGGATGCGAGCACCGATATGCATCTGTGCATCACTATAAAAACTCATCTTTCTTTATAGAAGATTCTATAATATATACTATAATATACACTATAGTAGATCTTTCTTTGTTAGTGCCAAATTTATAAAGGAACTGTTGCTGTATCAGACAGAGCTGATGTGGACATTGGTTAGTCAGAATTTTAATGACAGCTGCCTTCTAAGCCTGCTTCCATAAACAAAGACAAGGAAGCAGTCTGGTTTAAACAATGACGACTGTTCTGCTGTCGTTGCAGCTTGCTGCTGCAGTGAGTGGTGAGCAGACGGCAGGAGCGGCGAAATCGAAGCAGGAGAAGATGGAAGATGAAGATTTTATCTCCACAGGCTCTGATCTCATGGATGACTTCTTCTGCATAGCCAGGTTTGTCACGCCTCGATCGTTAGTTACGGCCGTGACATGCAGAGTTATGGTCAAGTGAGCAGCTGCACATATTCATATCTCTGTCTTGCCAGGCAAAATTGTTTGTATTTATTTTGTGAGTCTGCACAGAATTGCAAGAATCTGCTAAATCATTAATCATACATGTTCACAAAAACACAAATAGCAAGAATTCACTGAACCAAGAATCACAAATATTTAGTAAACCAAGAATCGTAACACAGAACACGTGTATATTATAGATTACCACATGCTGTGTATCATTTGTTTGAATGTCATGCTATGTATGTGTGTATGATATGTATGATGTTCATGTGTTTGTAAACTAAAATTCTGGCCTGCCTGATGCAGAGAATCTCCGCCAAGCTCTGCTTCTGAGTCAAAAGGAATCAAGTCGTTTATCAAAAATATCAGTCTGCCATCTGTGTCACCGACACTTAGCAAGAAGCCAACACCATTGACGACGGTGGCCGTCTCACAGACACAGCCAACGACTACACAGAGTCAGGTAAGCAAACAAACACACGTTACCATTTACCTGTGATTTACCTACATGTTTTACCTATAGTTTACCAATATTTCATCTGTGTATTGCCTATGCTTTACCCGTGAGTTAAATCCACATTACTTGTGTTACTTGTCGTTTACCTGTACGTTATGTATATGCTTACCCCATACTTTACGAGTGTTTTACCTGCATTTTACCTATGCTTTACTTGTGGTTTAAATCCGCATTACCTATGCGCAGCTTTTACTCTACCTGTACTTTTCCTGCATGCCTCTCCACGTAGATACCAAAGCGAACCTTGGCAACATCCCCTAGCGATGAAAGAAGTAGTCTGTCGACAGCAGCTAATGGGAAAGTGAACAGCCGGGGCTCACAGCTGCAGCAGCCTCCATCACGGCAGCGGTCCCGCCACATCACTCCCACCGGTGAGCGAGCGTCGAAGCCGACACGTCGTTCACCATTCTATGTTAAACGAATGACTAGAGAAAACCTCTACATAGAGCAGCGGTGAATTCGTTGCATCGTTTGTTTTTTTATTATGTTGTGCAGTTGGGTTTTTCATAAAATGTATTCGCCCAGTCGAGATAAATCATTGCTTGCGCATTTTAATTGGTGGCTGTTATCATACATGATGGGATTTGTCTTACTAGGTAGCATAGCGAAGCCTTCACCCATCGCCAGTGGAAACTCGCCTCGATCTGAGCAGGTGGCGCCCTCTGAGAGGAGCAAACAGCAGCGTTTGCAACAAGAGCGGCAGGACATGGAGAGACAGAGACAAGAGCTGCTGAGTAACAGCAGTGAAGCCACAAAGCTCAAGACTAATGCTAAAGTGAGCGACAACGGCACATTCTCTCCGGTTGTAACGTGCGATGTGTTGTATACCCAAAATTTATGTAAAAAAAACGAGCTACTTGTTTTAAGCTGCCGAGTTTGTGCAGGTGGTTGTGAATATTACTCTACAGTCACAGTGGTGCCATCTGTGTTGCAGGAAGAAATCAAATCACCGACCTCCCCTCCCCCGGAGATTAGTGAGAACAGTATGGGTGAGTGTCTGGTAGTCGGTCTGTCTCTCAATTAATCCACCTGTATGCTACAGGTTACAGGCGCATCTATATATTCATTTCTACGTTATAGGGGTCATTACTACCAGAGATTCACTGGTTACTTTGTGTATTTCTAATGCTTGCTACTAGGCGTAAACAGTCTATGGTCATCTGTACCTTAGGAGCGAGTATAGCTTCGGTCAGCATCTTCAACGCGAATAAAACAAACAAAAAATAGTAAAATGTTCAGCAGTGGCAGTTACGATAACCACTTCCTGATTAATTAATTCTAATTAGTCCAGTTCATTAGATGAGATGACACTCGTGATGCGATTGTGCGCATCGTGAACACCTAGCGCTCGTTGCAGGTGAGGAAGAGGAGAGCAAGGAGGCACCACCGTTCCTGCTGCTCAGTCAGGATGAGTACAGGGAGCATCAGTCGGCCATCGTACACTGTCGCTTCAGCCCCCTGGCGGGCATGGTGGCAAGCTGCGACCTCGATGGAATAGTCAAGTACGTTCACTCTATTCGTCGTGCATTCTTGCATTCTCGTCTACTGAGTGAAGTCAGACCTGTATGTGACGGTCAATCAAGGCAAACATCTATACTTTTTGTTTACAGTTTTTTTTTTACAGACAGACGTCTGTACTATAGAGGTGGTTTCACAGGTGTCCTTTCTATAGAGGCGACTGAGCTTGAGTATATTTTTTTTACTGAGGGAGGGATTTCTCCTCTACCTATGGTGTTACAGATAGACATGTGATGATGTATTTCAGAGTTTGGTCGGTAAGTCCAGTCCCGAGTACAGTTGTCGTGGTGATGACGAAATCTCCACTCCAGACGTTGGAATGGTCAGGGAAGATGGATCGATACGTAAGCATTGTCTTTGTAGCCAATAACTTCTATGCTCGGTCTTTTTCGTGTTTTTCTCTTTTAATTTATTGCAGGGAGCATGCCCACTAATATGTTTCATCTTGCCTTTCTTGATTTCAATGTTGTGATTTCAATTTGATAATCACTGAAACAATAGCAACATAATTTGGTAAATTCAATAAAATGAGTCAATGTATAATTCTCACTTTCTTGTGTAGCTGTGTCGTATATGGTGTTACAGTATCTAATGAAAGGATTTCAAATTTCAGTTGTTACTTGGTAGTAGGATGGGCACAGTGAGAATGTTTGATACAGTGGAGAAAAAGAACTTAAATGAAATCATTGTGGACCAAAGCTTCCCAAGGTAAAAATATGTTGCACATATTTTGAACATGTGGGAAAATAAATGGTAAAATGCATGTTGCATCTGCCATGTGGGTATGTTTCAGGTTAGCACTCAGTGAGTGTGTGTAATTCAGGGTAGTGCTGAGTGAGTCTCTGTTTTAGGGTACTGTCCATAGCTAGCAGCCCTTCAGGAGCCAGCTTTGTATGCTCATGTGCAGCAAAGCCAAGCACAGAATTGCAGTGGGACCAATGCAAAGGCAGAATGTATGTCTGCAGCACCAAAAACATGAAAATAGAGGTAAAATGAATCATATTACCATTAAACGTCTTTTTTCATAACGATTACAATTGTATTTGAAAACGTTTTTTATAACGAGTCAGACATGTCATAAACATATATAATAATATAAATAAAGATATAATTATAATAATATATAACGTTATATATAATAATACAGATATGTCATGAACATGTCTAAGCTGATTAGAGTGAAAATACTAAAACTTTATATAAGAGTAACTGTTTAGCTGTAAAGATGTAGTTCACACCTTCATTGTATGGACAAATTATTCTATTTGTGTTATATGCTAAAACACTGAGTAATGCTGACATTTTATATAGTATAAATGCAATCTGGTTAGTACTTATTAGCATTGTCAGTCAATATAGTGTAATTTTAATAATGTGTCTGCTTCTCATCACAGCGACTGCTGCCACTAGATTCGGATGACAGATGTGTAAATTGTACCGCATTTAACCACAATGGCAACCTGCTAGTTACTGGAAGCACTGGTGGTGTCATATCTCTCTACGGTAAGTGTATGGGAGTGTTCCGCATGTAAATTTGTTAGGCGTTAATTAGTACCTTTTTAATTCACGTTGCATTTCCATAGAAATTGGGGGGGGGGGAAGTCGAAGAAGAGTTCGCTTATGCAGATGTGTTTGAGATGCAACTTAATAGCAATATTCATGTATACAGTAACATTGTGTATTCATAAAAATATTCAAGTTTTGAAGTAGATAAAATCAACTAGTGTGAACTTCTGTGTATAGAGAACTTGTATTGGTGCTATGGGGTGGGTCGGTGGACAGCTAGTTCCACATTAACCTTGTAAGGGTGCCATACTAGTACTATTTATGGTTTGTTATCTGCAGATATGCAGAGAAATGAATCGATAGCTAGCTGGAAGGCTCACCAGGGTCAAGTCCACAGCGTACGATTCAGCGAGGACGAAAACTCGTGCTACAGCATGGGCAGCGATGGCAAGGTAGGTATAGAGGGCCGTTTTTCTCACTCGTGCATAGGTAGTGACAGCAAGTTGGGTGCATGGAGCGGCGCTACATTTTGCTCTTACATGTGTAGTGACGTCCAGGTGGGTAGAGACTGCTGATTGTGATCGAACAAGATGGAGATGCATGTCTTTACTACTTATTTTATCTTACTCCACATTGAGTCAACCGGATGAGTTATATTCAAACGTTTGTGAAATGCAGTGGGAGTGAGGACGATAGGTGACATATATTGTGAGAAAACTCATAGGACCCAGCAACGTGAATTGTCACCAAAACGTTGAGCAAAATTCTTATAGGCTGAAAAATCTCAAACACCATTGTGTCGTGGACAAATAAAAATCCTCCACTACTTTTCCCTGACTAAACGTGTACCTTCCAGTTTAGCGATTCCAGTATGGTCGCGTAAAAGTAAATGCTCGAATAAATCGTGATGGGACGAAATGCCGATACTCAGAACATCTGCTTACCTTCTGTGTAGTTCGTACAGTGGAGTTTGCTGAAGAGGTCGGGTCGCCGGCTGGTAGAGCTAGGCATCCACAACGGAGCAACGGGTCCGTTTAACGCCGTTGGCATGGGAGGCAAGCAGCAGAGCTTCACGCCACGCGGGAACCTCTTCTCATTCGACTCCACTGGAAAACACGTACTCACGTGCGCGCCCTCTGGTGGACTCATATACAAGGTCTGTATAGCGCATGTGTAGTGGCCCTGAGCGGGGGAACTTTTTGTTGACGTGCTATTTGTTCTGTTGCGTTCACTCGTTGATTTGTAGACATTTTTGTGAGTTTGGTAATCAATGATCAAGTCCGGATGCACACTTGAAATCCTCGCAGCATCGTTTTCTGAGATGAAGTACTTTCTGGAAGAGGCTGATGTAAGAGATGGGGTGTTGATTGTACACAGAATATCATCTTCTGTAACCCAGCATTGATCTGTTTCCAATGGCCATTTGAATTGCTTGGTAGGTCCATGAGGGTGCATAAAATTGATGTGGTAGTCACCAAACTCCTCCGAAATTTCCTCCACCATGCCAATCCACGGAAAGCCGTCATAAAGACAGCAGATCAAGTTTTGTTCCTTTATTTCTGATTGCACAGATGGTTCTGGTTCTAGTTCTGCATCATTACTGTCTGAAACATGTACTAAATCCGCAGGGCCAGCTTGGTTACTCAACTTGTACACATGTAGCGTAGAGTTGGAGACTGGAACGAATCTGTGGTATTGCAGTGTCTCTTTGATAGTTTTCACCATATCAAACCTGTCCTTTAACTCTGAAGCTGATTGAGTTACATCCTCTGGTCAGGTGTCACATTGAAAAACGTGATACCAGGGATATTCTCCACGCAGAAATCCATAATTCCGTCCGCTGTCAGAATCTGGTCATTATATGGGCGCTGCAGGCTAGCCTTGGTGACTAGTCGCTTAATGACAGTCCCTCCTATACCGTCACAGGCACTCTTGCCATGTGATGTTGCAAAGAAGTTCTGAGACAGTAATGATGCAGAACTATAGAACCAGAACCATCTGTGCAATCAGAAATAAAGAAACAAAACTTGGTCTGCTGTCTTTATGACGGCTTTCCGTGGATTGGCATGGTGGAGGAAATTTCGGAGGAGTTTGGTGACTACCACATCAATTTTATGCACCCTCATGGACCTACCAAGCAATTCAAATGGCCATTGGAAACAGATCAATGCTGGGTTACAGAAGATGATATTCTGTGTACAATTAATCAACACCCCATCTCTTACATCAGCCTCTTCCAGAAAGTACTTCATCTCAGAAAACGATGCTGCGAGGATTTCAAGTGTGCATCCGGACTTGATCATTGATAATCAATGAATTATTGATAATTGAAAACATGGTAATATAATGATTTTTCATTAGACTGAATAGTCATTTAGAATGTTATTGCCACCTGTCATTCTCAATCAGGTTATGTACAGCAAAGCCAATGTTTGGGATTAACTTGATATCCGAAATAGACTGAAATGGTATACATATGTGCCTACATGTACAGCATTGCATAGGAATATAGGCATTATTGCACCTACTATGCAACTTTGAGAAGAGCTGGAAAGCAAACAAAAAATATTATATCTCCAATTTTTGTATATTATGTAGAAAACATGTTGAGGTATAATTTTCAATGAAGTTCATCTCAAGGTTACGTGATCCACAGGGTCAAATTCAAGGTCAAATTCAAGGTCAAAAGGTCATCAAACTTTAAACTGCTCCTATATAACAAATAATGACAGATTTGGATTGCCTATGCAATTAGCTTTCCAAAGACACCAATATCAACCAATTTGGCCTAGTAGTTACAGAGATATGACCATTTGAAAATTGACGGGTGCGTCCATTTTGGCCAAAATCGCCAAAAAAGGGCGTGCCGTAGCGCGAAAACCGTTTGTCCAACGGAGCTGAAATTTGAAATTTCAGCTTTTTCAGCCTAAATTACCCCATAAACCAAATTTCAGCCAATTTGAAGGAGGTCAGGTGTAAATTTCCATTTTTTTTGGGTGATTTGACACGGAATGACCCTATTACCACATTTGACCTCACCTGTTATATGTTTGC